TTTCCGCCTCTGGCGAATGGCTTCGTGTTAGCGCGCCGCGGGCTCAGCTGCGACCCCGGCCCCGCCCCCGGGACCCCAGCCATGGACGGTGAGGCGGCCTCAGCGCCCTCCCGATGGCTGCTCCCCGGGGCCGCGGAGGGAGACCCCGCGCGCCCCCTTCCGCCCCTTTCTGCGCCTTTGGGTGCTGCGCAGGGAGCGGCTGGGAGGGTGGCACGGGGCGGGGCGGGCTGCTAGGGGGTCTGACTCAGTTTCCCTTCTCGGGGGAGGGGGGGCTTGACTCTGTATCCTTCCTGGGCGGAGGTGGGGACGACTCTTGACTCAGTTTCCAACACCCCCCCCACCCCGTTGTTGATGGGGTTAGTTTTGGTTTCCTTTCCTTATAGGGTAGAAAGTATCTGACTCAGTTTCCCTCTGAAGGGGGGTTAGTGCTCAGTGTCCCTTAGGAAAATAAAGCAGGCACTGACTCAGTTTCCCTCGTTAGAGAAAGGTTTCCATGCCTCTTAGTAGATAAGTGCTGCTGACCCTGCTGTTTCCTTTCTGGGCAGGTTGTGGGATCTTGACTCAGTTTCCCTAGAAGGGAGATTGGCTCCATCGGGCCTTCCCTGGTAAGGATGGACAGTGGGCTTTGCTGACAATGTCTTCTTCCCTTTCAGACCTGTTTCCCCTCATCTTCCCCTCAGGTAAGTGGACTCTCGTTCCTCAGTACTGAGTGACTGGGGTTTGGGGGGATCAGGGTTCATGGGGCAGCACCCGATGGCTGGCTATGTGACCCACAGAACCAGCCCAGGCTTCAGGCCCCTATGTGGAGATCATCGAGCAGCCAAAGCAGCGGGGCATGCGATTCCGCTACAAGTGCGAGGGTCGCTCAGCAGGCAGTATCCCAGGAGAGAGGAGTACAGATACCACCAAGACACACCCCACCATCAAGGTGGGCACCAGCCTAGGGGTGGGAGTGGAGGGCAGTGTGGTGGAAGGGAGCAGACTTGCCTCCTGGCCACCCTGCCCATTGTATAGGAGCCAGGTTTGGGATTGCTGGCCTCTAGAGTACTCTGTACTTTGGACAGATCAATGGCTACACAGGACCAGGAACAGTTCGCATCTCCCTGGTCACCAAGGACCCACCTCATCGGCCTCACCCCCATGAACTTGTTGGGAAGGACTGCCGGGATGGCTTCTATGAAGCTGAGCTCTGTCCAGACCGCTGCATCCACAGGTGAGCTCCCCACAGGCTGATAGTGGAAGATGAGGTCATGAGATAAAAGGCTGGGCAGCCTGAAGCTGTTAGTGTTAGTCCCTACTGTTTCTTTTTTTTTTTTTTTTTTTTTTTATCTTTTTGAAACAGGATAGACCAGGCTGGACTTACTTAGAGATCCGCCTGCCTCTGCCTCCCAAGTACTGGGACTAAAGGCATGTACCACCCTGCCCAGCTGTCCCTTAGTGTCTTTTGTGTGGGAAACAACCACTGATAACTGGAGCTTAAAAAAAAAAAAAAAGTGGAGTTTAAATATCAGTTGATAAAAAGGCAAGCAGTAAACAATTGTACAGAGAAGATACTGCTAGTGAACAATAATTTCCATGATGAAAAGGAAACATAATAAGTAATTGGTTGGAAAGATAAGGAGGGAACTGGTCTCATTACTTTTGAGACAGAGTCTCCTGTAGCCCAGGCTGGCCTTGAACTTGCTAGAATTCTGCTTCTACCTCCCAAGCGCTAGGATAACTGGCATGTTCCACCAACTTTGGGTTGGAAGGTCACAGAAGGCCTTTCTGGCAACATTTGGATGTTGAGAAAGCACAGGAGTCCAAAAGAGCATACCATGCAGGACAGGGGCAGTGGCCTTGAAGAATGCGCTGAGAGATGGGGAAGAAGCCCCTGTGGCCTGGAGGCTTGCCAGCTGAGTAAGGCTCAGGTTCTAGTGCTGGACAGTGTGAGGCACAGAGCAGCACAGACCTGGGGAGGAGGGAGGGAGGGAGGAGCAGATTGAGCAAGGAAAGAGGGTCCTAGGCTCTGCTGGGGACACAGGACTGATGCCCAAGACACCTCAGCTTCCAGAACCTGGGGATCCAATGTGTGAAGAAGCGAGACCTGGAGCAAGCCATCAGCCAGCGCATCCAGACCAACAATAACCCTTTCCAAGGTGAGGGCAGGGGTCAGGAGCACCAGCCTGCCTGTGTTGTGCACACCTCTTTCACCTTCCCCAGTCCTCCTGTCCTGCATCCCCCTGCGTGGTCAAGCCTCGCAGTGCATATGGAATCATGCACACCCTCATTCTACCATTGAGAGTGAGGCCTAGAGAGGGTTTATATATTGGGGTCACAGTAGAGTCAGTCATGGGTCTAGAGCCTTGTCTTCCTCCTCCCCTGGACTTCACATGTCCTCACGTAGCCTCCCTCAGTCCCCCTCCCCAATCCCCCTGGCTCTCCTGACTGTTTTTTCTAACAGTCCCCATAGAAGAGCAGCGTGGGGACTATGACCTGAATGCGGTGCGGCTCTGCTTCCAGGTGACAGTGTGTGACCCATCAGGCAGGCCCCTCCGCCTGCCACCTGTCCTCTCTCATCCTATCTTTGATAACCGTGAGTGGCCAGGGAACCACAATAAAGGGAGAGGGTGGGCCTGAGAAGAAAAAGGGGGCTGGGGTGGGTGTGGCCTGTGAGAGGGGCATTCGTCACTTCTGTACCCAGCTGTGCTGGCAGGAAACAGGGCAGAGAAGTCCTGGAGCTGCCCTCAAGGTGTAGTTTCCAGGCTGGCCAGGAGCGTGTTGGGAAGCGAATGTGTTCCATGTCATGTGATGGGTGCCGGCATGCCAGGAACTGTGCTCCTGACTCTAGGAAGTGCACTCCCAGGAACCAGATAATGCTAGACAGAGATAATCTCACAGCAGTTCACAGGAAGCTGTCCAATGAACTGGGCTGACACTGATTGATCGTAGTCTTTTTAATAACCAGCAGGATGAATGAAAATAAAAGTCTCTGCAACCCCTAGGACAGGAAGCCAGTATTAACTGTGAGGGAGAAAGGGCTCCTTGCCAAGGTAGGGATGAACCAGACCCTGAATGTGTGCCTGGTGGTGAGGGGCAAGTGTGGTGAGATTGGTTCCTGTGGACTGTGAGCTCCACGAGGGCAGAGGTGTTCACTTGATGCATTGCTGTGCGTTCCCTTGTTAGAACTGTGCTGCACACACCACACAGCAGGGAAGTAGTTGCTGAATTGGATGATGAGGGGCAAATGGAATGATCTGCAGAGGTGTGCTGGACAAGCTCTGGACCACCTTGACAGGGCTGGGCCAGGCATGGGTGTTGCATCTCCTGCCAGTCACCCTGGGGACCTCTGGTGGTTCAGGGCTTCCTTCCTTGTTGTCACACCCTCAGGCGCCCCCAACACCGCCGAGCTCAAGATCTGCCGAGTGAACCGAAACTCTGGGAGCTGCCTCGGTGGAGATGAGATCTTCCTGCTGTGTGACAAGGTGCAGAAAGGTACACAGCAGGGGCAGGGCTGGCCTCTGAACGGAGAGGACTCTGCACTGTGAGCAGAAGGGATGAGTGCCAGGTAGTCTAGTGTCTGGGACCTCAGTGGCCTCGACAAAGCTTCAGAAGCTGGAGGCAGCAGGTTGTGGGGGTCAGACACACTGACCTGTACATTCATTGTCTCCTGCAGAGGACATTGAAGTGTATTTCACGGGACCCGGCTGGGAGGCCCGAGGCTCCTTTTCTCAAGCTGATGTGCATCGGCAAGTGGCCATTGTGTTCCGGACCCCTCCCTACGCAGACCCCAGCCTGCAGGCTCCAGTTCGAGTCTCCATGCAGCTCCGGAGGCCTTCTGACCGGGAGCTCAGCGAGCCCATGGAGTTCCAGTACCTGCCAGACACAGGTACAAAGCTGGGGAGGGCAGCACCAGGGCTGGATGTCTGAAGCCAGCACTTGGGATTTATACATACCATAGTGATCGCCATGTAACATTTTGGTCAAGAACAGACCACATACATAGTGGTGTTCCCATAAGACTGTATTGCCTAGGGGGCTGGAGAGATGGCTTCCTGGTTAAGAGCACTTACTGTTCTTGAGAGGATCTGGGTTCAGTTCCCAACACCCACATTAGGTGGCTCACAAGTGTCTGGAACACTGGTTACAGATCTGAAGCCCCCTGGCTTCCACAGGCACCTACATACCAATGGTGCACATAAACTCACATACACACACACACACACACACACATAAATAAAAATAGTAAATCTTTTTTTAAAAAAAAAGATATACTGCTCACAGACATTTCAGGCATCTTGGCTTGTGTAAGTACACTTTAAGATGCTTATGTACGGGCTGGAGAGATGATTCAGGTTAAGAGCACTTATTCTCTAGAGAATCCATATTCAGTTCCCAGCACCCATGTTGAGTGGTTCACAACTGCCTGGAACTCTAGCTCTAGGGGAGCCAACATCCACTCTGGCCTCCAAGGGCACTCATACACACATGGCATACATTTACACATACTTTTTTTAATTGGATAAGCTGTGGTGGCTTACATCTTTAATCCCAGCACTCAAAAGGCAAAGACAGGTAGATCTCTGTGAGTTTGAGGCCCCCCTGGTCTGCAGAGCAAGTTCCAGACGTGTGAGAACTGCATAGTGAGACCCTGTCTTTAAATAAATAAATAAATAAGTAAATAGTGCAATTTTAAAAGATGTTTATACAGTAAGCTGAGTATAGTGGCATGTGTTTATAATGGACCTCTGGAGCTCAGAAGGAGCTTCATGATCAGTGAGAGATCCTGTCTCAAAAAATCAGGTGGCACATGATCTAGAAAGGCAGCTAGCAAAGACCCCAACCTCTACATGTATGCACACCTACGTGCACATGCACCTGAACATGTGCATGCACCCACAGGAACATGTACATATACCACACGTATATACAAATACAAAAATAATGAAATAAAATGAGATGTTCATACAGTGACAGGTTTGCCTGATTGCATGTCTTAGGCTGTGGTTGTTCTGCAATGTGACTAATCAGAGTTTGTTTCTTGCCTCACTTAATGCCACCCAGCATATCACGCTCTATCTACTACTTCTGCCCCTTGGTGAGCATTTCCATAAGTCACCCGATTTTAATCTCTCATCACCTGTTGAAGCTGGAAGCTTGCCCATGCTTACTAGCTGTAAGAGGCATCTGTGTCTGATCCTAGGTCCTGGCTCTCTGGATTTGTTGTTATCTGGTGTCTCTTGTCACTTCCCTACAGCCCAGCTACATTTTGGTCAAAGCTTTGTGTACAGACACGGCCTGTGCCATGAGCCGTACATGCAAAACTGAGTGAGACGTTCCCTGCCTTTTGCAAGCTCAGTCTTTAGGAAGACAGGTGCAGATCACATCCTTAAGTTGCAGAATGACATACCAAATGGAGGTGTATTCAGAGTGCTAAGGGCGTGCAGGCATGGGGAAATGGAGATGGGTAAATGGAGGATGTGGCATTTACCTTGGAGAAAGACCTGAAGTGATTCTCCAGGCCAGTGGCCCAGTCCTGGGAAGGAAGGGGTGTTGGGGTGTACACAGCCTGTTCAGGGGCATCTGTGGTGGCAACAGTCACCAGGCAGTGAGCAGGCCCAGACAAAGAAGGGTCTTGTTAGGTTCTCACTGCAACTGGGGTTTCACTCTGAAAGCAGCAGGGAAGCACTGAAGGCCTCTCAGCAGAGATGTGATGTGAGCAGATCTGGACACAGTCTACTGCTCTGAGTAGAGAATGAGAGATGGAGAGACTTGGGCTGGTGACACAACTCAGTTGGTCAGGGGCTTGTCTTGCATGCGTGAGGCCATGGGTTCAATCTCCAGCATCACTTAAATCAAGCATAGTAGTCCACACTTGTAATCACAGCACTGAGGAGGGTAGAGGCAGGAGAATTGAAAATTCAAAGTCATCCTTGGCTACATAATGTGTTTGACACCAGCCTGGGCTACATGAGAGCTTATTTCAAAAAAGAGAGAGAGGGAGGGAGGAAGGGAAGGAAGGAGGGAGGGAAAGAGGGAGGGAAAAAAGCCCAGAGATTTGCCAGGTGTGATAGTCCCAGCATGTGGGCAGCAGAGGCAGGTAGCTATCTGGGAGTTGAAGGCCAGCCGGGTCTACATAGTAGGTACCAGGCCAGCCGGATCTACATAGTTGGTTCCAGGCCAGCCAGGTCTACATAGTGGGTTCCAGGCCAGCCAGATCTACATAGTGGGTTCCAGGCCAGCCGGGGCTACATAATGGGACCCTGTCTCAAAACAATAACAGCAACAAGAAAAACAGGCTTAGAGGCTATTCTGGAAGATGGTACAATGTTCCAGGAAGAGAAGATGAGCAAGTAGGCTGGCAGAGGGCTGGCAGAGCAAGGCCATACCTCCTGTCCCTGCCCTGGGTTACTTCACCGTGCTGTGATATACATATACACCAAGCTGGCTCCCCTCAGGACCTGTGTCTTGCTATGGTTTCTTCTTGGCTCTCTGCTTCCAGTATCTCATGCCAGTCCGTTCCTGACCACTTCTTGTCAGTCTCCCCGACCTCACACCCAGTGCTGTTACCCTCACCTTGTTCATGGATGTAAGCATCCTGGAGCTCCTGGCACCCTTTCAGGTCACTGCTTTTGGAAGTAAACCTTGTGTGCTTTCTCATGACCACATCCCGAGTGGCTGAGAGGGAAGCTGGCATGTAGTAGGTGCTTGGCAAACTGAGCTGGGTTAGTGAACATGGAGGAGAGAAAGGAAGGTGTTAAGGAAGGCTCCCAGGTTTCTAGCTTTGGTCCAAAACCAAGAGACAATCAGGAGACACAGGAAAGAGAACCAGATTTTGGTGGAGAGTTGAAGTCAGCTTTGGAAATGAGGTGCTAGCGTCAAACTGAAGTCTAAAGTCAAGCCATCAGATGAGTCTGTGGAAGTCTTAGGCAGGCCTGTGGCATTCAGAGTGCTTCCTTCCCTCCAAGCCCAGGTGGATGCTGAGACAAGCAGCACAGATTCTCACCTGTGCTAGAGGTTCCTGTCCCACAGAGCAGGGCCCCTTTGCTTGGCATCACCTAGGGGTTGAGGTTCAGCTCACAGACCCTTCTTCTCAAAGCTACTGGCTTCTTAGTTGGGAGAATGGGTCTTGGGGAAAGTGTGACTCCTTACTCTCCTCTTGAGAGGCCCCTGGGAGCACTGGAGCCTAGCTAAGGAGAGCAAACTCTATTCTCCTCATTGCTTTCCCAGACGATCGCCACCGGATTGAGGAGAAACGCAAAAGGACATACGAGACCTTCCGGAGCATCATGAAGAAGAGCCCTTTCAATGGTGAGAACGGTGTGGGGAGAGCCTGACGGAGGGGCAGTGGGCAGGTGGCAGGTCTCTGGATTGGGGAAAAGACACCCTGGGATCTTAGAGCTGACCCAGCCTTTGCCCTGCAGGACCTACCGACCCCCAGCCTCCACCCCGGCGTATTGCTGTGCCTTCCCGAAGCTCATCTTCCATCCCCAAACCAGGTAAGTATTTCCTCTTGTCCCACTGGATGAGAGGGTCAGATCTGTTGAGATTGAAGTTGTGGTATCTTCTGAAAGGGAACCGAGTAGAGGCATCAGCTTCAGCTGGGGATTGAAGCCTGCTCTCTGAGGCCCATGCTTCTCCGATGGGGCCTGGGCCTCTGCCCTGATCACCTGGGGAGCAGTGCGGGTGTGGATTCTTCGGCCTGTTACAGGCTGATCAGAACTTGAGGCTTTTAAGTGTGGTACAGGAATCGACAGCTTCCTAGGGATGCTTACATACATGGAAGTCTGAGGCTACACTTGTTAAACCCTGAGCTAGGTCTGGGCCTCATGTTTCTAGCCTGTAATTCCAGCTACTTGGGAGGGTAAAGCAGGATGATTACAGGTTCAAGGCCAGCCTGAGCAAAATAGTGACACTCTGTCTTACAATAAAAGGTCAAAGTAGGGGCTGAGTGTAGTCATGCACACCTTTAACCCCAGCACTTGGGAGGCAGAGGCAGGTGGATCTCTGTGAGATTGAGGCCAGGCTGGTCTACATAGTGCCAGGCCAGCTCGGGCTTCTATCTCAAAAAGACCAAAAAAAAAAAAATTAAAAGTAGGGCTGTGATCTAGCTTAGCAGTACAGTGCTTGCCTGGCATAAGGCCCCAAGTTCAATCCCAGTACCAGGAAACAAACAAACAAACCTGAGTTGGTTGCCTTGAGATAAAGAAGTTGGAGATGGGTGGTTTCTACCCCTAGCTCTTGACTGAATTTGGAAAGAAGAAAAAGTTACCTCTGAAGTAATCAGTTGTAAGTGCCAGTGTATGGAAAAGCGGCACATGCCTACATGGCCTGTTTCTTGGGAGTTCCGTGGGCCTATCCTCTCAGTTGGTTTTACAGCTTTAAAATGAGAAGCACTTCAAAAGGTCAGGGGAGCTGGGCATGGGGGTGCATACCTTTAATCCCAGCACTCAGGAGGCAAAGGCAAGTAGATCTCTGTGAGATTGAGGCCAGCCTGGTCTACATAGCAAGTTCTAGGTCAACTGGGGCTACAAGGTGTCTTTTAAAACCAAAACAAAAGAAATAAAAAGTCAGGGGCCAAGTAGTGAGGGAGCGCTCCACTGAAGGCCTTGAAAATGGACCCTAGAGGCCAGGAGGAAAGCAGCTCCCTGGAGAGGAACAGATCCTAAGCAGTATCGAGAGTGGCTGAGTGACAGAGGTAGGGTATGTCTCTAAGTGCTTTTCCTGACCCTTGCCTCTTTGTCTTTCTCCTCCAGCCTCCCAGCCCTATACCTTTCCAACATCCCTCAGCACCATCAACTTTGATGAGTTTCCCCCCATGGTGTTACCTTCTGGGAAGATCTCAAACCAGGCCGTGACACCATCCTCTGCCCCAGTCCTGACCCAGACATTGGTCCCCCCCTCAGCCATGGCACCAGCTCTGGCCCATACCCCAGTTCCTGTGTCAGTTGTAGCCCCATGCGCTCCCCAAGCCATGGCCCCACCTATCCCAAAGACCACCCAGGCCGGGGAAGGCACACTGTCGGAAGCACTGCTGCACCTACAGTTCGATGCTGATGAAGACCTGGGGGCCTTGCTCGGCAACAGCGCAGACACAGGCGTGTTCACGGACCTGGCATCTGTCGACAACTCAGAATTTCAGCAGCTGCTGAATCAGGGTGTATCCATGTCCCACCCCACAGCTGAGCCCATGCTGATGGAGTACCCCGAGGCTATAACTCGCCTGATGACAGGTTCCCAGAGGCCCCCTGACCCAGCACCTACATCCCTGGGGACCTCGGGACTCCCCAATGGCCTCTCAGGGGATGAAGACTTCTCCTCCATTGCGGATATGGACTTCTCTGCTCTTCTGAGTCAAATCAGCTCCTAAGCAGCTGACATTGGCCCTGCCCAGAGCACCAGGTTGCAGGGGTTAAAGCCCTCCCAAAACACTTAAGGGTTCTGGGGAGTGTGCTCCAACTGACCCTGACTTCTCTGGGTGATGTTTTCTGGGGGTGGCACATTTTACTCTTTCATTCTCTCTCTCTCTCTCTCTCTCTCTCTCTCTCTCTCTCTCTCTCATCTCTGTCTCTCTCTCTCTGGAGGTGCTTAAGCAGAAGCATTAACTTCTCTGGAAATGGAGCTGGGAGGACTTGCACTGTGTTGATGGTCAGCTCCCTTCCCTCGGAAACCCTGGGGTCCTGTGTCACACGCTCCAGTTCTAGCACTCTAGAAGAGGCAGGCTGGAGCTGTGGCCTTAAGGCCACAAAGCCTTATTATCAAGTGTCTTCCTCAACATGGACTCTTGGACACCTTGATCCAAAACAACGCTCCCACCAGCAGCTCCTACGTGGTGCTGCCAGACACCAGCGCTTGAGGGGCCATTTTCCTGCCCTGCCAACTCTTCCAGTGCTGAGGGGAGCTGGTGGCACGGGACAGCACTGGCCTTCAGGATCCTGAGGGAGTTTGGTCTGAGACATCCCTGCTCCCCTGTTCTCAAGTGCCTTAATAGCAGGGCAAATTGGATAATCGGGGTGGGCAGCTGGAAGTTCTCCAGCAGAGTTTTTACTGAGGATTAAAGCAATTGGACTCTTGCTTTCTAACTGAACTAATAAATGTGTTACCATGCTGGCTAGCAAGAGATTTGCAGTCTTTGAGCAAACAGAGCACTCACTCTGGATGTTGGTAAAACTAATGTGCACTGCCACGGGGTGGGGGGGGGGGGTCTGGGGGTGCCCCTGGAACGCTATGGCTCACATGTGGTAGGTGTAAACTGGTGGTGAGGCAGAGTCCAGTAGGGCCCTTTAGCTGTGGGGTAGAGTCATTTGGAGAACCCGACCCACCCTGCTTAGGTCATTGGTCAGCCAGGTAAGAGGGAGGGGCTGGGGCCACAGTGGGAATGACCGGGAACTCGGGATAAAAAACTACACAAAGCCGGTTCTACACCCTTGGGGAATCAGGAGTCAGATCATCCTTGGCAACTCTTTTCCAGGCCAGCCTGGGCTAAAACTGTCTCAAGAACTTTGGGCCTGTCTCTTGAGTGACCAAAGGAGTTTGCCTCGCCTGGTGAAAAGGTGGTACCAATTAAAAATCTGCCTGCTTTTGATAGCATTCTGGGGTGATTCGTGGTATTTTTTTTTTTTTTTTTTTTTTTTTTTTTTGGGTTTGGGGTTTTTTTTACCTGCGTCCCCCCAACCCTTAAAAAAACCCAGGGTATCTTTCCGTGTTTTTCTTTGGGCCCAC